GTAGATTGAACATCTTCCATGAAATAATTTATTTAAATCAAAGTAACTTAAATCTTTAAACCCTCTTCAGCGAGCAAGCAACAATAGCATTCAGAATCAAGCAAAATCCAGACTCCTTGTCACTGGGTTGACTCCATCATGGACAGGCCCTTTAGACAAAGTTTTGAAGTCTGTGTGTCTTCAAGGACATTGCCTACAACATCTGTTTCCTGCATATCTGATCACAAGTGGGAACCATAAACCTCCTTGACAGCAGAATAATTTTGAGAGATTGAGCCACTGGGATTCTTAGTGTCTCAAATAAAAGTAAAAAGGGTAAATATAAAATATTTTCAATTTTACTTGATGGTAATATTAAAGTAGAGTGTAAGAAATACACTAATTTTTTTTTTTTAAATCTTATATATTTCTGAAACTATGTAATTTATGCCAGAAATGTTTTAATAGTGATATTAATTTACCTTTAAGCCCTGAAAATGGGAAAAACTGTCTTTTAAAAGGTATTTCAAAATATAATTTCCTTCAAATATTTTGTAGCTAATAAACATCATATGTATGTATTTTAATTTTAATAATATTTTAACAAACTGTTGCTTTTACTGTTATGTGTCACTGTGGTAAAACTGACTCACAGTTGACCCTCCAGCAGGTCTTCAGAGGCAGTGAGTTGAGTGTGAGGAGACTGTCCACTTTCCCCCGGGAGCACCTGGTTGATCTTAATAACATTCCCTTGGGCAGCTAGAAAAGGGACTGGGGAGGGGGGTCATGAAATAAATTTACAATTACTTAGGAATGGAAAAAAAAAATCTTAAATCTTTTTAAATTTAAGAATAAAATATTAAAGAAGATATTAAGTTCTTATTTTTAAGTTAATTTCATTGTTTGTGTTTGTTATTTATCTAAAAATATGTACAGCTGAGGTTTAAATAGATAAGGGGAATGAATCAGAATTATTCACTGAGAAATCCCTGCCAGATGGCTTAATCAGTAAGGTCATGATTTTTGTTGCTGTTATGTGCAGTACATTTAGAATTTACACAGTTTACCCTCCAGTTGGCTTTCAGGTAAATCATGCTAGAGGAATTTTTCAACTTTTTTCCACAGAGCAAATTTGTGGATTCAAACTGGGTATCTTTGGGTTAGCAGAGCAGACACTTAATTTCTAGGTCACCAGAGTTTCCTAGGTCATGATAAACAGAGAAAATATTGAAATTGTCCATTTTCAAAAAATTATATCCATTTACTTGGAGATTATATATATATCCTTAGAAAGAGACATTATACATAAAACAGGCAAATATTCAAAGTAATACAAAGCAAAAATATCACCTTGGGCTTTAAACTGTCTCAATCCAAAACTATGGTATTTTAATTGACTGAAAGTCATTCCAAAAAAAGAAAAAATGGATAATGAATTAGGAAGATCACGGAGGAACTTATGCCTTTTTAAATTGTGGTTTTGGGTAAGAACGTTGAACATAATGTAGGCTGTCAGAAGAATGAATGGATCTTTATTGGAAAAATCAAAGCTCTAAATCCCTTTAGAAATGAGAATGACAAATGTCTGTCGTGCATAGAATGAGCCAGTCTCTGGAAAAGAATATCAAGTTGGTAAAACAGAGGTTCAGAGAAAAGAAGAAATTTAATGAGACAGGTTGACACTGAAACAATTAACTCACACAGAGTAAAAATTATGAGGATGACTCAGGGCTAAATAGTAAGAGTTCTCTTCTAGATGGGGTTTTTACAAGTTGGAATTGATTGGATAGTACCTAACGACAATGAATTATTGCTATTTTTTTATTAACTGCCATCGTTCATCAAGTTCTACATGTATATTTATTTTTTTCATCCTCTTGTGATCCCTTATTCTTCTCTTGCTTTTGTTCATGTTTTAATAATATTGTTTTCTTTCTTTCTAATTATTGAGCACCATATTTGGTATATATGCATTTTCTAAAACATATATTAGTTCTAAGTGGCAACATAGCCATAGCCTTTATTTCTCAGGTTACTAGTAAGTATCATTGAAAGAAAATGCATAAGGGGTATTGCTCTAAATATAATTCTAAGCAAGGATTAGCGGTGAGTACTTATAGGTACAGTCTACAGATAGAAATCATGGTGCAAACCAAAGTACTGAAAGATAACTCTTGCAGAAAGCACACTTTTAAACACTCATTTCTTCAGTTTTGTGAGGCTTTTGATAAATGTTTTAAAATTTTCACTTCATTCCCATAATGGTCCTGTGCTGCAAAAAGCAAGTAAATTTGAGTGACAGTATTATTATGTTAAACATAAAATTGTGTAAAATCGAGAACAAATAGAAATCTGTTTAATGTTAATGCTAAATTGTTGTTGATATGTAGTACAGTATCAGAACCAGCTTATCGCTGACCCACTCTAGCTGGTTTTCAGAGGTAGCAAATCGTACAGGAAGAGATTGTCCATCCTTCTCTAGTGGTGGATTCAAAGCCTGTACCTTCAGCTTAGCAGCTCAGCTTCTTACCGTTAAGCCATCAGAGCTCCCTAATGTTAAAGAGATGATGTTAATAAGTAACTGTCATTGAAATAGGTATCAGTGTTGTTATGTTTGTCATGTAACCTTGAGTGGAATAGAACTTCTAACAATCTGTGAAGTACAGATCTGAATCCTGTTCTCTGCTATACTATGCATCGTCATTTCTGACACACTGGAGCCCATTGCTGCTGTCACTGTGTCAATTCATCTCAATGAGGGTCTTCCTCTCTCTCATTGACCCTCCACCTTTCCAAGCATGCTGTCCCTCTCTAATGAATAGCTTCTGCTGGCAACATACCCAAAGTATGTGAGAGAAAGCTTTGTTATCTCTGTTTTTCTCCAAGATGTATTTGTCTATTCTTCTGGTAGCTCATGCATTTTAATAAATACTAGCTTCCCTTCAACATAGTATATTCATAATAAACAGCTTAATTCGCATTGACACTGTTGATAGAGTCACTGGTCTGCAGAACTGAGCAATCTGTGATGCACTAGAAAGGAATAATTATCTTGCATTAATTCATTGCACTCTTTTATATTGTACCATAATTCAGTTTCAGTCTACCAGAGGTACATCATTCTTTAATCACAGCATGAAGCCTTGGTGGTTCAGTGGTTAAATGCTCAGTGATTTGAAACAATCAATTTTCCAAGATGGGGAAAACAAACAAACAACAAAACCATGTGATACTTTCCACAACTACACTTGGACACATTATGAGACTGTGCTTTCAAAGTGTTCCTCCTGCAAGGCTGAACTGACCCCACAACCATAAGTTTGGTTCATTTTAACCAATTTACCATTGTTCTCCTTTGCTTAATGGACAAGGTGGAAACACATTAGGAAGGAGGGGTATAGGTTTAGGAAAGCAGTACATGGACGATATTTAAGAAGGCATTTACTCTCAGGATTGTACAAGTGTAAGGGTGAGCCTGAAAGCCTCCTTAAATTTTGTATCTTGAGCATTTTAATAATGAGTTCTTCTTCAGGCCCTGGTAGAAGGGAATTATGGGAAAAATAATTTCCAACGTGACAATGGAACTAAAAATCAACTCCTTAAATATTTTTCTAAGCAATGAAGTAACTCCTATGGCCATATCCTAAAAAAAAAACAACCCCGAAGACCAAACAAACGAAAAAACCCTCTAAAATGCAAAACCCCCCAAAAAACCAAACCACAACAAAAAACTCATTATATCATCATTATAATTTATAGAACCATATCTAACTAAAAATTGTAAGTTAAGTAATAAATTTCATCAATATTATCTCATTTAATATCACAAAAGAAGTAAACCTTTGAAACTTTAAGTAAGTAAATCTTAGAAAGTTTACATGATTGCATAAAATTGACCAAAATATAAAACATAGAAATAGGAGCAAAACAAAATTCCAATAAAACACTATTTACTGATTTGCAGTAATACAACTTTTTGATAGTTGGTCACATTGTTCATGTTGAGTTTCTCACAAAATAAATTGTACTGCCCGTTATGTTATATATTTTCACCTTGAGCACCTTTCAGCATCAATAATGAATTTGTAGACAGTTACATGACCTGTTGGTTTCAGAAGAACAACCTATAAATAACGACAACCTAATAAAACCTAAATAAACAACTTAATAAAATTTTCTTACTCAATGTACTCATAAGAAATTTGTTATATTCACCTAGAAAAAAAATAACATTTTTTTCTAAACTTATTTTTATTATTTAACAGAAGGAAGGCCCTCACAAGATGGGCTGATACAGCATCTACAGAAACGGGCTTTTGCACAGTAGACTGTGGAGATGGCAAAGGTCAGGCCTGATTTCATTCCCATGTGCATGACGTTGTTCACTATAAGTTGAAGCTAACTAGAGGACATCTAACACAACAACAGCATATGAGGTGGTGTGTTATCTTGCTTTGATGGTCCATCGTTCTCTCATCAAATTGCAGGTAAATTTGAACAACCTTCCTTATCCACTAAGTCAACAGAAGATGAGTGTCAATTTTAAAATGAGATACTATGGAAAAACTAAGAGTGACTCCCTCAAACTTGTAGGCCTATAGTGTCTGTGCTGATTAAGGTCTAGTTTGATGCATTCCAAGTTGTACTTCATAATTAAAGTGACTCTAAATTAAGTGTGACAAAATAATTTATTGTTATTTAATCAGAGTATGCATATGGTGTATAAATGCCTATTATCATTCTTATAGCTTGAACTCAAACTTGTCATTATAGTGCCTTAATCCCTCCACTGAGTTTCCAAGGCTGTGGAAAAGACTGCCCACTGTTCTCCAGCAGAGCCACTGGTAGACTGGGACCACTAGAAAGATATGGCATACGATTTAGCACAACCAATCCCTACGGATTCCACCACAGGCCCCATAAACAATAGCAATGAGAAAAGAAGCAAAGAGAGAGATGAAAATAAAGGGAAATACAATGTCAGTTTATCTTTTCTGCAGATGAGTCAACCAGGAAAACCACCAAATGGAAACCAAACAGAATGGATGGAATTTGTTCTCTTGGGTTTTTCTGGCGTGCCCCATCTCCGGTGGTTTCTTTTTGGATTATTTCTGGTAATCTATATTATTATTCTGGTGAGCAATGGTACTATTTTTCTATTATCAAAAATAGACCCTGCTCTCCAGAGCCCAATGTACTTTTTCCTGGCAAGTTTTTCTCTCTTGGAAATTTGCTATGTGTCAGTCACACTTCCCAGAATGTTGATGGATCTTGGGACTCAGAGAAGAAATATTTCCTTACTTTCCTGTGCTACACAGATGTTCTTTTTAGTTATATTTGGAACCACAGAGTGTTTGCTCCTGGCAGTGATGGCCTATGACCGTTACGTGGCCATCTGTAACCCTCTACACTACCCTGTAGTCATGAACCACAGGGTCTGTATGCAGTTGGCGATTGGTGCCTGGACTATTGGCATCCCATTTCAGATAGAGCAGATATATCAGATTTTCTCCCTTACTTTTTGTGGGTCTAAACAAATTAACCACTTCTTCTGTGATGTTCCCCCCCTACTCAAGCTGGCTTGTGGAGATACTTTTATAAGTGAGATGTTGCTCTATGTAGCTGCCATTGTATTTGTCACAATCCCTTTTCTGTTGATACTTGGTTCCTACAGTAAAATTATCTCTACCATCCTGAAATTACCATCAACCACAAGTCAGACAAAAGCTTTCTCAACCTGCTCATCTCATCTAATTGTTGTACTTTTATTCTTTGGATCAGCCACTATTTCATACTTACGACCAAAGAACAATCAGTCAGAAGAATCTGGAAAAGTGCTTTCTCTTTTCTACACCATCCTAACCCCTATGTTTAACCCCATGATATACAGCCTCAGAAACAAGGATGTCATATCAGCACTGAAAAAAGTGCTATGTAAATAAATAATTTCAGTTAAGAATGAAATTATTATAATATTATAATAATAATGTAAGGATTTCTTTCTTATGTTTTTTTCATGAATGTTCTTTTATTCCATATATATATATAATTTATTAAAAATAGTAAAAGGTGGTAATGATGTCATATCTTTATGGCCAAGCCTATAAGCAGATCATAACCAATCTATTAGCATTCCTGTGATTCTGTGGTTCTATGTCCTACTTAATTAATAAACTACGAAGGAGATATCATTAATTACCCTTGTGTAATGATTAATCTGCTAAATCTATATATTAAAACCATTTTTCCATGACTTTATATACAGTTGTAAAAACTATTTTAAAAACATGTTAGTAATAAACATTAATTAGAATTATACATATTTCCAGATCTTACAGTAATTCTATTGACAGATGCTTTTTTGTCAAGAAAAGATAACCTTTAAATGAGGATATATTTTATAAGATGTGATGGTTTATAAGCCCTGTTGAACATCACTCACTATTTGTATATTTATCATTTTCTATATAATTCTATGGTTTAATAAAAAATATATATGTGTGTGTGTGTATATATGTATATATATCATTATTAAAACATGTTCAAAGAAAGTCATGACATTTTTCCACAAGTGGGTTGTTCTTTTTTTCCTTTGTTTTGATTTTACTTTTGAAGAATTGACAGGAGGGAGACATATTATGAGCGAGAGTTTCTATTTTTTAAAGAAAGTTGTTTAAAATAAAAAGACAAAATAGTAATAGCCAAGGTATATTTCTTCAATATAGATAATTCAGTTTAGAGAATTAAAAGTGCCTTATTCAGAACAGGGTCGTTTCAATCACTTACTATGAATCTGAGACCTGAACAGGGAATAAAGATGACAGAGAGAATTGGCGCCCTTGAGTTGTGATGTTGGAGAAGAACAGGGAATATCCCATGGATTATCAAAAGAACAAACATATGTGTTAGAGAAAGTGCAGCTAGAGTGTTCCTTGGGGCCGAATGACATAGTTTTGTCTCACATATTTTGGTCATGTTGTTGTGAGAGAGTATTCTTTGCAAAGGGACCTTATGCTAGCAAAAAGGAAGAGTCAGCAAAATAAAGGGAGACTTTCAACAATATGGATTGACATGACTGCAGTAATTGATTCAAGTGTATCAGAGCTGGTGAGGGCATAGGATTGGACAGGCTTCAGATCTGATGTGTATGACGTTGCTACGTGCAGTGTTCAAATAAATGGAACTTAAAAACAGCAAAGAAGTACGCAAGTACAACATTAAGGACAAAACCCAATAATACTCGTTCTAAATATGTATTAGTTTTCCTGAAAGTTTGGTGATAATTACAGTAAGTATATATTATCCATATAATTAGGAAAATTATTCTAGAAATATGTATTTTGTTGTTAGGTGTCATCAGGTCACCTGAAACTCATAGTGATCATGTGTACAATAGCACTGGACTCTGCTCTATCCTGAGCCAACCTTATTGTCTCTGACACACCTACTCTCATTACTCAATACCTCTTATCCAGAGTCTTCCTCTTTTGTGCTGTCCTTCATCCTCACCCCTCTTCATGCCCATCCTCACCCCTCTGTTCCTCCCCTCCTCCCCCTGAATCCTCATACACAATTTACTAGTTATCTTTATATTCTACAATAATGGTCTTATACAGTATTTGTCCTTATAGGACTGAGTTCACTTAGCATAATGCTCACCAGTCCCTCAAAATTAGATAGTTATTTACAAAATCATTGCTCCTGCGTTCTGAGTAGTATTACATCATGTGAATATACCATAATCAATCTTTGATATAAAAGAGCTACAGTTTTGACAAAAACCCAAGATCTGTCACATGACTTGCAGTTTAAAAAGTTGTCTGTGTTTATGGGGGGAGGTGGTGGGCAGGGAGAAAAGTGCAGCAATGAATGACTGGAAATCCTAAGTCTCTCTAAACTTTCATTAAAATTAATAAACAAATTAAAAAAAAGTTGTCTGTGTTTAATGATTATCCCAGAAATAGATGACAGTTATACCTACAGCTTCATGGACACATACGTTCTAAGAGAAAAAAAGAAAAAAAGGGAAAAAAATGGAATGTGAAGCATCTCTGATGACCCAAAGAAGAGGGGAAATATCCTGCTTTCATAAACAAAAGAAAGATGATAGAAGCCAAGATTCTCAGATACAATGGCTATAAAAACAAAACAAAACTAAACTAAACTAAAAAACACAACTATACAAAAAATTTATGGAAACTACTAAGAAGAAAGAAACCTCCATACAAATGCAAAAAAAATACCCTGCATTTCTGCTGACTAGTTCTGGTAAAGAATTGCACTATTAACCCACAGGCCAGTGGTTTGAGTCTGTCAGCTGCTTTGAGGAGAAAGATGGGCATTCTTCTCTCATTGAATGGAATTTATTAGATAAAGATAATCAGTAATAGAAATGAGAATATAACAAGAAAGTCTGAGAAAATTTCCTAGAAAAATATGGGTTATTCCTGAAATTAAAACAATAAAGTGAGATGGACAGACATTGAGAAAGTTCATTTATTCTCCAATTTCCCACCTGACAGTGTTGTTGTTATGTGCCATGGAATCGCTTGTGACTCATAGCGACCCTATGTACAACAGCTCTAAACTCTGCTCTGTCCTGTGCCAATCGCACTGTCTCTGACACACCCATCCTGATTACCCCACTGAATCAACCCACCTCATAGAGGGCCTTCCCCTTCTGCACTGTCCCTCCACCCTCCCAAGCATGCTGTCGCTCTCCAAGGACCGGTCCCTTCTTACAACATGTCCAAAATATGCCAGATGAAGCCCCAGAATGCTTGCCTCCGTTTATTTCTTAGCGGTCCATGGTACCCTCAATACTCTTCTCCTGCACCACAGCTCAAAGGCATAGATTCTCCTTCTATCCTCCTTAACCACTGTCCAACTCTCTGATGCATAACAAGTGATTGCAAAGACCATGGCCTGTATTAGACACACCTTAGTCTCCAGAGGGAGACCATTGCTCTTGAGTACTTTAGAGAAGTCTCTAACAGCAGACTTCCCCATCGCAATATGTCTTTTAATTTCCTGGCTACTGGTACCAAGAATGTTGATTGTGGAGCCAAGCAAACTCAAGCTGTGAACAATCTCAATCACCATCCATCCTGATGCTGCCAATTGGTCCAGTGCTGAGAGTCTTTGTCTTCTTGACATTGAACTTCAGTCCATATTGAAGGCTGCAGTCCTTGACCCTCTGCAGAAAGCACTGCAGGTCATCCTCAATTTCAGCAAGCCGGGTTGTGTCATCTGCATAACGCAGATTGTTGATAGATCGTTCACCAATACTGATGCCGCATTTCTCCTCATAGAGCCCAGCCTCTTGGATAAGCTGTTCTGCATACAGGTTGAAAAGGTATAGAGACAGGACACTGTTCTGACTGGTACTTCTCTAAATCTGAAGTTCAGATGGACTAGGAATCCTCAAGTGTTGGACCTAATCAAATTTGGCAAATGGAAGATATTCACCTTTCTGAATTTGTCAGACTCAAGTATACACATGTCTTTGTGGGTATATTTTCTGGTTTTACACTTCCCATTGCTATAGCTGGAATAACTTCCAAACATTATTTTTCTTTTACTTGAAACATTTGCACACATGGGTGGTATATTAAAAATTAAAACAGGTATTATTCAAAATGGGTGACCCTGGGGGACATTACGCTGAGTAAAATATCTCCGTCACAAAGGGACAAATATTATATGGTGCCACTGTTGTAGAATGAGGTTGACATTGGGGTGGGGGTAAGACTGAGAAAAACTGGATAAATTATGTTTACTGCATTGAAGTCGATGAGGGAGAGAATAGTTTGAAATTAATATATTCTAAGGCATTATGATTATCATAAGAGTCCGGAATGAGGGTTGCAGAGTGGAGTATACTTGGGGTGGGATTGGGGA